CAGGTAAGAGCCCCCTCCCTCATTCTAGCTCCTGGCCAGACCCTACACCCCAACCCTGTGCTCGGTGCACTCCCACCCTCAGCTCAGCGCAGAGATAGGAAGAGAATGGGCCAGAACCAGGGAGAAGGTAGGTACCCACTGTATGTTGGCAGGGCCAGGACCCCAGACCGGCAGTGGGCTGAGCGGGTCCAGCAGCCGGGATCCAGGCTAGCAGGAGCCGGCGGATGGAACCCCTGAGCGTCAGTGCGCTGAACCACTCAGCCCAGTGCCAGTCTGGGATCCCGGCCGCCGGCCCCGCACAGCCCGCTGCCGGTCTGGGGTTCTGGCTGCCGGACCCTTGCCAGCCGGGGTCCCAGCTGCAAGCCCCACTCAGCCCACTGCCGGCCTAGGTGAACAGAACCCCAGACCAGCAGTGAGCTGAGCGGGCCGGCGGCGTAAGATCAACATTTTAATTTAATTTTAAATGAAGCTTCTTAAACATTTTGAAAACCTTGTTTATTTTACAATACAACACTAGTTTAGTTATATAATATAGAGACTTATAGAGAGAGACCTTGTAAAAAGCATTAAAATGTATCACCGGCACGCGAAACCTTAAATTAAAGTGAATAAATGAAGACTCGGCACACCACTTCTGAAAGGTTGCCGACCCCTGGCATAGTCTAATAATGCTGCCTGGCTGAGAACCTTGACTCCCACGGGAAAAAAATTTGATTTTGCCAAACTTTTTTGATTTTCTGTCCGGAAAATTTTGGTTTGTTAAAATGAGCTAAAACATTTTATTTAGAGTCAGTTCAACACTAAACTGCATTGGCCTATCCTGTGGTGGTGCCTCATGGGAATTGTAGTTCAGGTGTTTCAGGTTCCCATTCTCGCCCATGGGCTGGGCTCCTTGGCTAGACTGCCTCTTCCATGATGCACGGTGGTCTCCCCTCTGACTAAGCCACCTGGTGCATCATGGGAGTCTCATGACAGTGGTGCCTCACTGTCAAATGCAAGTATCAGAGGGGTAGCCGTGTTTGTCTGGATCTGTAAAAAGCAACAGAGAGTCCTGTGGCACCTTTAAGACCAGCAGATGTATTGGAGCATAAGCTTTCGTGGATGAATACCCACTTCATCAGACGCACGAATTTACATGCGTCTGACGAAGTGGGTATTCACCCACGAAAGCTTATGCTCCAATACATCTCTTAGTCTTAAAGGTGCCACGGGACTCTCTGTCAAATGCAGGTGCTGTGGTGGGGTGAGGGCCATAGCCGGGTCTCTCAGATAGCCAGACGACTTATAGCTTTGAAGAAAAGGAGTGGGGTTCTGCTCTGACTGGAATCTGCCGACACTACATGAATACAAATAATAATAACGCTGTTATTCCACTGTGACGTGCCCTTTTGTGTCTGGTTATTGCTTACAGCCCGGGGAAGCGGTGTGTGTGGCTATGCGCCCATCTCCGGCATCTGATAGCGTACAAGCCACTTGAGCTTCTCTCTCCTGGTTACCATGATACTGTGATTGTTACCTGTTGTCTCTCTTTGTCTCCCCAGTGCCTGTTGGTAGATAGGATAAGCGAGCTGATGGAGGGATAGATTAGACCCTGCATACGTACTTCGGGTTTATCAAGCAATATTTTCTGTCTGATTTGGCACATCTGATTCATTGTTAGTGCTGATAAGCACAAAGCATAGAATAACAGGGCGCGAGGGTAGCAGAGCCACTACTGCAGTTCACACACACCTGCAGTGCGCCTCCATTCACAACATTAAAAAAAAAAAAGTAAGCTGACACATGTAATCAATTTACAGCAAACCAGCTGCAAGGGGAAACGGACTAACCATGTGCTTTGCCGCTCAGGGTTCAGCAGAGGTCCGCGCAGCAATTGCAAAGTGGCGAGGTTGTTGTCAGCCTTTCAGGGGAGTTACCTCCTCGCAGTTCGGAGGCCCAGATAATCCAATTTCACGTCCAGCCTTTAGAGTGTTATTGGATCTTCCTGGAACTGATGAATGCTGGCGCTCCGGAAGGGGGGGCAGAGTGAAGTAGCCAGCGGTGGAGGTTTCTTGTCTTTTGTTACAGGGCAGGTGAGCCTTTAGAAGTGGTTGCAATTAAAACTCTCCTCCTTGAAGGTACCACCCTGTATCTGTGACCATTGTGTGTTTTAAACAGAGCTATTGAATTCAATCAGGAGTGCTCCAGGAAACTGAGTAGCGCTATAGCAGGGGTGGGCAAACTTTTTGGGCCGAGGGCCACATCTGGGTGGGGAAATTGTATGCACGGTCGAGGCAGGGGGTTGGGATGCGGTAGGGAGTGTGGGAGGAGGTGCCATGTGCAGGAAGGGGCTCGGGGCAAGGGATTGGGGCAGAGGAGGGGTGCGGGGTGTGTGAGGGGCTCAGGGAAAGGGGTTGGGGTGCAGGAGGGGTGAGGAGTGCAGGAGGGGGCTCAGGGGAGGGGTGCAGGAGGAGTGCGAACTGTGGGAGGAGGCTCAGGGCAGAGGGTTGGGGTGCAGGAGGGGTGCAAGGTGCAGGCAGGGGACTTAGTGCAGGGAGTTGGGGTGCAGGGTGCAGGAGGGGTTCGGGCTCCGGCCTGGCGCCACTTACCTAAAGTGGCTCTGGGGTGGCAGTGGTGCGCACCGGGGCCAGGGCAGGTTCCCTGCATGCCTGCCCTGGCCCCACGCCGCGCCGCTCCAGGAAGCACAGCGGCCCCTGGGGGAGTGGGAAGCAGAGGGCTCCGCGTGCACTGCTCTTGCTGCGCCTCCAGGTACCTCCCCCAAAGCTCCCATTGGCCACGGTTCCCCGTTCTCGGCCAATGGTAGCTGCGGGGGGGGGGGC